CTATGGGGGTGTGTGAAACTATATGACTCTGTCATAATAATATGTAGGCTTTAGTGGGGTAGCTAATGTAGGGTATAGTTTTTTGTTTCTTGTACCCAACTTTCTCAATAGTGCACCCATTCTTTCCCTTAACTCTCGACAGCCTTCGATGACGACGCCGTGGACTCGGAGTACAACGAGTGTGACGACGCCTGCAACAACGACACAGACTCTGGCGAGGAGGAGGACAAGAGCATGTCCCCCTCCAAGGATGATGGTGACGCCGATGAGGACGCCGACGACGATGATGACGCTCCCGAGGAGGCCCAGCTTGTGGCCCCGGCTCCCCGTCGCGGCCGTGCTACTGCCGCAGCCGGCACCAAGACTGCCACGAAGGGCGTTGAACCTCCTCGTGCCGTTGACAAGACCCGTAACCTGCATCCTATTACGCGGAGCGTGTGGTCCCCCCGCGAGAACACTATCTTCGCCGCTGCACGTTGGTTCATGAAGGACGAGTTCGGGCCCCTCCTCGGGAAACAGGGCTCTCAGTACTGGGCCCGCCTCGTCCGCCACCTCGAGCAATAGAATCCCAGGTGGGTGCGTGGCGTGAACGCGCTTCAGTAGCAGTGGCGCAATCCTGTCAACATGTTCAAGCATATTAAGAAGGGGGAGAAGGCGTCGGGCAAGGGGGCGGTGTGCAAGCCCCACTGGTACCCGTACATGGAGCTCTTCCAGAACAACAAGGCAGTGGGCAGCCCTCACGTTGTCGACATGGTGGTGCGGCACACGTCAATGTGCCTTGCGGTTTCGCGGTCCCGTCCACATCTGCGCCATGCACATCTACCCCGACTTTCACTGGTGCGTTCCTTTTGCGTTTACGGCAGCTCTGGTGCGCATCTTATGAGATACTTTGGGCGGAGATCTTTATGCATGTAATACCGGATACATGATGTACTAATCTATGCACCTTCTACTGCACGCGTCCGGCCATTGTGTGTGCAGCTCCACCTCCGCAAGGAACGCCGACATCGAAGCGCCCACGGGTGGCAGAGACGGCAACGATGGCCGCCGCCAAGCTGGTGTGCGAGACAATCAAAGGCTGCCACTCGGACGCGATGAACAGGCTCGAGGGCCTTGTCCGCGCGTGGATGGAGTAGGACGCGCGTATTGCTCGCGAACGCGTGCAGCAGCCTGCGCCCTCACCGCCAGCCCGCAACGACATCCCCGTGGACGCGGACAACCTGCCCGCATCACACGCTGCCGAAGGCGGCGACGACGGATGGTTCCGTCACGGGCAGGCGGGCGACAGCGCTCCTAACCCTGATGCGGCCGATGAGGTGTGGGTTCGTGGCGACGCCGAGTGAGGTAGGAGGACTCAAGAGCCTCGCCCAGCTGCTTGGGCCTTTCCTGCAGATTCACTTGCATGCACGGTTCACATGGCTCCCATTTGAACTCTGCTATCGCACGACGAGTCCACCATGGATCCCGGTTTCGGGGCAAGTTGGCCCATGACGCGTTGACGCGCCTAGCTGTTCCCATCGTTTCGCACATGTTGTGCAGGATGATGGCACAAGACACCCCTCCAAGAATGCGCCAGAGCTTGCAGTCATTGCGGCTTGCGAATAGACGCCACTGGCCTTTGAAGGCGCCGATGCACCACTCTATGGCCATGCGCCCAGCGCTTTGGCAGTAGTTGAAGCACTGCTCCCAGTCGTCCATTCGGCCCTCATGGGGCGCATGTAGGGGGGTCAAGCAGAAATTTCTGAGTGGGTAGGCAACATCTCCCACTATTTGGTATGGCGCTATGTCGCCTTTGTGCAACCTTTCGTGTAACGCGCTGTTCATGAACACTCTCTGATCGTGCGCAGTGCCCGAGTATCCGTTCAAGTAGTCCTGTATGATGCCTCGCGCGTTGCATGTGATATGCAGTTGGACGGCGTAACATGACTTCCGCGTGTAGTACTCTTGCCTATGCCCCTCCATTCCTTTCATCGGAATGTGTGTGCCGTCTATAGCCCCCACTATTGCAGGTACCCCCTTGATGGCGCGGAACTCCTCGGCCATCTCATTGAGGTTCCCACGGCTCGGGAAGTGGACCCACTGCTGCTTGAAGACGGATGGGAAGTGCATGAGCAGCGTGTCAACAAGCATATGGCACAGGATCTTGGACAGGCCGAATACGGCGGACAAGTCTACGAATGACATACCGCTGGCCAGGTATTTGATAGCGACCAGGCATGCTACCTCGTGCATGATGAGGTACGTGTCCACGTATGGCTGCATGTAGTGCGCCATCCCGGCGACAATGTATTCGAGGATGGCACGGTTTATCCGAAACAAGTCCCCAAATTCCTACTCTCCCATGCCTTCCAGGTTCTCCAGCAGAATGTGGTATCTCCGCCTGCGAAGACCAGACCTTCTCTTCCGCTCAGCAGTTCGGTTGGAGCCGTAAGAACTAGAGGACGAGGCGGCCTCGTCGGTGAATACGTTGGCCTCCAACAATCCACCGACCGACTTGGCGACCATGTCCATGAAGATGCTGTAGTCGAACGTCATCCATGCGACCAAGAGTCGCATGAAAAATGGCACCTCGCGAGGCTGTGTCATGATTGCTAGACAGTGGTGCAATACTGGCCTGTGATATTTGATGTTTTGTACTTGGAAGAGTAGTTGCATACATGCGTTTGTGTGTGGGGTGGTCCAAGCAGCCCCGACTCGCCCAATTTGCAACTTCCATTACTGTGGCAAGCCCCCCAGTGACATTCACTTCGTTTTCCCATGTTTATGCACCTTGGCCGGCGGGAAAACGGGTGGGCAGGCGCCAACTGGTCGCTTCCAATAGAACCCGCATATCTGGCTCCGCCAATCTATTGCCCTGAGTTGTGGTACATTTGTCGTTTGTGACACAACATTTGGCAAATTTACAGGCGCGACTCGAAAAAAAGGGGATTGAGACACAAGTGTCTCTGCAGAAATGTACCCTAAGTGTCATGAGCGCACTGAACAGTGCATCGCAGAGGGATGTCCGGATCCAGATTTTGGCGACGACCTGGTAGTTGAAACCGCGCTCGCACTCGACGGTACGTAGCGGAAGAACTGCCAAAACCTGCCACAGGGCAATCAAGTTGGGGTAGCAATGGGGCTAGTAATTTGTTTTAAGCATGTTTTGCAAGCTTTGGTGGAAATCCTTGTCATCGTGGTGTCGTGACAGGATGTGATAGAAGCATTTCAGCTCCAACTCAATTGCTCTGTAGTTGAAGCCTACCACAGAGTGAGCCAGCACGTACACCAGCCCACTAACGCTAGCTCGACAGCACGCTGTTGCCAGGGCGCACACCAGCATTTATTCAGCAGCCCGCCACCAAAGCGCACTAGCAGCGCGCTGCCCGCTGCTTGCCCCCAGCCTGCCGCCAATGCATGCCAGCCGTGTGCCAACAGCTTGTCGACAACTACGCGCCAGCAAGTGCCATCTACTACCAACCGATGCCCGCACTTATGCCTGATGCATTCCTTGCCATCGCCCCTACTTTCCTCCGCGCACTAGCCATCGGCCACCAGCCTATCCACAAGCAGAGATATATAGCAATTATAGAGAGATGCAAGAGTACAATGCAAAGCATCTCTAGAAAGCAAGTGAGGGCCTGTAGACACAAGCCCTAGTTGGGTGCAGAAACGCCGGTGGTCACAAGGCGGCAACGCCTTGGTGAAAATATCTGCAGTGTTGGCCTCAGAGACCACGCGTACCACGAGGGCTTGGCCACGCTGCTGCAACTCACTCAGAAGGAAGTAACGAAGTTGGATGTGCTTCGCCTTCCCAACCAGTCGGGGCTCCTCGCACAACAGGATGTCAAACTCATATGCTATAGTCTGCGTAGGCTGTAGTGGGGTAGACAATATGAGGTACAACACTTTTAGGTTTTCCTACTTGTACCCACCTGTTTGCGAGTGCATTCATTCCTCATTTCTTCACATGGTATAGAGCAGGTTCCCTAGTGGGAACGCTTCCTAGGGCCCACCACTGAAAATCGATTTTTTTTTTTTTTTCCTGACCGGAGCGCGAGTCGCCCCTGCCCAAGGCGCGTCCCGTGGGCCGCCTTCTCGTCGCGTCCCCTGCCCTTAGCGGCCCGTCGCGCCCTTCTAGAGGCCCCTCTCAGGGCCCCTCGCGCCACCCCTAGCGGCCCCGTTGCCGCCCTTCGCGCCTTGTCGCCGCCCCTCGCGGCCCCGTCGCCACCCCTAGTGGACCCGTCGCCACCCTTCGCGGCCCCGTCGTCGCCCCTAGCGGCTCCGTCGCCGCCCCTCGCGGCTCCGTTTCTGCCCCTCGCGGCCCCCTCGCCGCCCGTTACGGCCCCGTCGCCGCCCTTCGCGGCCCCGTCGCCGCCCCTAGCGGCCCCGTCGCCGCCCTTCGCGGCCCTGTCGCCGCCCCTATCGGCCCTGTCGCCGCCCTTCAAGGCCCCTCACGACTCCTTCGCGGCCCCGTCGCCGCCCCTTCTTGGCCCCGTCGCCGCCCTTCGCGGCCCCGTCGCCGCCCCTAGCGGCCCCGTCGCCGCCCTTCTTGGCCCCTCGCGGCCCTTTCACGGCCCTGTCGCCGCCCCTAGCGGCCCCGTCGCCGCCCTTCGAGGCCCCTCGCGGCCCCTTCTCGGCCCCGTCGCCGCCCTTCGTGGCCCCGTCGCCACCCTTCTCGGCCCCTTCTCGGCTCCTTCGCCACCAGCAGCAGCCGCCGCCAGCAGCAGCCGCCGCCGCCGCCAGCAGCAGCCGCCGCCGCCGCCGCCGCCAACAGCAGCCGACGGCAGCAGACGCCGCCGACAGCAGCGGCGGCCGCCACCAGCAGCACCCGTCGCCGCCGATAGCCGCGACTGCCGCCGCCACTGACACCAGGAGCTGCCGCCGCGGTCGCGGCTCTGTCCCTGCCGACGCGCCTCGGCCCTGCCCCACCGCTTGCCGGCCCCTACCTACCAGCCCTGGTGAGAGCACTGCCGAGCCATGCCTGCTACTGCTGCCCCTAGCCTGCTGCCACAGCTGTCATGGCTACCCCTAGCGTTCTAGTCTTTGATGCTGAGGGTCGGGCTGTTGACTTTGAGGTCTGGGTCGATGATTTACAGCATTTCCTACAGTGCAATAGGAAGGACGGTCTCTCACTAATCGATCTCACGTCTGGCGCCTCTGTTGCCCCTGCTGCCGATGCTGACAGCACTGTTCGCTCACAGTGGGCCACACGCGATGCTGTTGCCCATCTTGCTGTGCGTAGTCACTTACCATCCACTGAGCGCGCGCACTTTAGTCAGTACAAGTGTGCGAAGACCTTGTACGATGCTGTAGTTGCACGCTACTCTTCCCCTGCCACTGCTGCCCTTAGCCGCCTCATGCTGCCGTACCTGTTTCCTGACCTCGCCGCCTTTCCCACAGCGCACCTTCGCACTAGTGACACCCGCTACCGCGCTGCACTTCCTGCTGAATTCTGCGCCAAGAACCCCCCCCCCCCCCATATACATCATCCTCTACTACATAGTCACCCGGCTCCCCGACTCCCTTCGCTCGGTCAGGGACCACTTCCTCTCTGTTTGCCCCACCACACTCACCGTTGACCTCCTCGAGGGGCGCCTCCTGGCAGCTGAGAAGAGTATAGTCGCTGTAGGAGCCTCTCGTGGTGACCCTCGTGCCCCCTTCTTTGAGGGGTGCTCCCCCTCTACCCTTTTGCCCTCTGTTGCCTCTGCTGCTGCCGTCGACTTCGTTGGCACCGAGTCGGTCGGCGCTGCGTCTGCCCCTAGCGGGAGACGCCGCACCGGCAAGGGAAAGGGGGACAAGGGTGCTGGAGGGGCTGGCGGGGGCAGTGGAGGTGGCGGTGGAGGCGGCAGAGGGAGTGGGGGTGGCGGTGGGAGTGGTGGCGGGGGTGGGGGCTTCGGTGGCGGCGGTGGAGGCGGAGGCGGAGGCGGCGGCGGTGGCGGTGGGAGCGGAGGAGGAGGCGGTGGCGGCGGTGGCGGAGGTGGCGCCGGCGGAGGTGGAGCTGGTCGGGGTGGCTCTGCGCAGCGGGGCGGCTTCGGTGGTGGTCAGCGCCAGCAGCAGCAGCGCACTCGTGAGACCCTGCCCCCCCAGTAGCTTCGTGAGTGGTACGCTGCGCGTCAGCGGGGTGGGGGTACTGGTCCTTGTGCCTACGTCCTCCGTACCGGCGACCACACTGGTGAGCCGTGCGGTGGCCCGCACACCACCCAGCGCTACTTTGGCCGCCTGACGGACGCTTGGCGTCTCCAGTTCCCTGACGCCACTGAGATCCCCCGCTGGGGCGAGCTGCTTAGGTCGGGGGTTGCTATCTTTGATCTAGATTATGATGCCATTCTTGCTGCCATGTATGTTGTGTCTACTAATGATGAGGGTGACTGTTACCTCTGTGTTCCGCCTGACCCGGGCATTGAGGCTGCTGCTCTAGGTGCTGGTGAGGCTGCTGCTCTAGGTGCTGGTGAGGCTGCTGCTCTCGGTGCTAGTGTGTGAGAGTACGACGGCTTATGCCAGCTATGCTTGCTTGCCTCTACTTTATCATGCTATTTCTAGCATAGGATAATCATATGCATGCATGAATTGCTTGATTTCCTAAGCTAGGTGCTTTCCTATATTTTATTTTAGTTATAGCACCGAGCTAGGTTGCGTGCACCGAATTCTGGCTTTTCGGTTGCCACCGAATTGCCTTCTACCGAATTCGGTAAGGATCTGTTCGGGACGCTTCGCGACCCGCGGAACCTTCGCGTAACACCTGGTTACGGGGCCTTGTGTCGAGCCTATATATAGCCTCGTGTTGTACCCAGGTGGACATTGAATTCAATTCAATTCAATTTGAATCATCTTTTCTGAGCTCGATCCCAGATCCTCACACTAGGTAATCAGAATGGGTTTACATGCGAGGTCTTCAACCGCTTAGTTCCGGCCTTTAAAAACCGCGGGGGCGACGACGAAAGCGCCGATACGGGTATGTAAAACCAGTTCTGCGCAATTTTTCTAAGCCCCCCTCGATTCGGTTTTCAAACACCCCTCAGATTTACTGGTGGAAAGGTTGGAGTTTCGACCGTTCGATCGAGTTTCATCTCAACGACCCAGAGAATTTCGCCCAAAAAAGTTGGAATTTGGAGCGTCAGATCGATTTTCTCCTCAACGGCCAAGATCGGACACGAATTTCGCCTAAGGGGGATTTACACAACCTACAGAATTCGCGCTCGTCAATTCTACAGTCAATTTGACTCGCAGTAAGTCGACCAGCACCTAGAATTCGATTATTTTCATCGCGCATCTTCCTGTAAATCGCCAAATGGAGGGAAAAAAGAGATATTTCAGTACAGAAAATCGCGGAGTTACGTGCTGAGCATAAGCAAATACGTGCAGCGCTCCCACGACTCGAAAAACTCCTTGCGAACCAGTCGGCAACCGCCACAGCAGCAGCGACAACAGTAGCAGCAGCAGCAGCGGCTACACCGACAATTCTACATGCGACAACTGTCAGAACATTATAGCTTATGCTTTTGTGTAGGCTAAAGTGGTGTATCCCATAGGGGGTACAACCCAATTAGGGTTAGTACTTGTACCCAGTTCATTCATAGTTCATTCATTCACGTTCACTTCTTCACATGGAATCAGAGCAGGTCCCCTCCTAGGGACTGTTCCTAGGGCCCACCGAAGCGCGCCCCGAGGCGCGCATTCCTTTTTTTTAGCGACCCTCCGTGTCGCCCCTAGCGGCCCGTTACGCCGCCCTTACCTACGCGGCACCGCCGCCCTTACCTACGCGGCCCCGCCGCCCTTACCTACGCGGCCCCGCCGCCCTTACCTACGCGGCCCCGCCGCCCTTACCTACGCGGCCCCGCCGCCCTTACGTCGCGGCCCCGCCGCCCTCACGTCGCGGCCCCGCCGTCCTCACCTACGCGGCGACGCCGCCCTCACCTTCGCGGCCCCGCTGCCCTCACCTACGCGGCCCCGCCACCCTCACCTTCACGGCCTCGCCGCCCGTGCCTACGCGGCCCCGCCGCCTTCTCCTACGCGGCCCCACCGCCCTCACGTCGCGGCCCCGCCGCCCTCACTTCGCGGCCCCGCCGGTCTCCCCTCCTGCCGAGCCGCCCGCCACGCCGCCCCGTACCGGAGCAGCCGAGCCGCCCAGCAGCAGCCGCCGAGCCGCCGGGCCGCCGAGCCGCAGTCCAACCGAGCCGCCGGGCCGCCGAGCCGCAGTCCAACCGAGCCGCCCAGCAGCAGCCGCCGAGCCGCCGGGCCGCCGAGCCGCAGTACAGCCGAGCCGCCCAGCAGCAGCAGCCGAGCCGCACTACTGCCGAGCCGCCCGACCTGCCCTGTCTGGTGAGCACAGCCCCACTGCTACTGCGTGCCCTTCCCCCACTGCTTGCACTGCTAGTCTGCCGTCATGGCTACCCCTAGTGTCCTCGCTTTTGACGCTGAGGGTCGAGCCATTGACTTTGAGGTCTGGGTCGACGACCTGCAGCTGTTTTTACAGTGCGATAGGGCAGACGGTCTTTCTCTCTTTGACCTCACCTCTGGCGCCTCCCCTGCTCCTGCTGCTGATGTTTACCCCACTGTTCGCTCTCAGTGGGCCACCCGCGATGCTGCTGCACGTCTTGCTGTGCATCGCCACCTCCCTACCACTGAGCGCGCGCACTTTAGTCAGTACAAGAGTGCTCAGACCTTGTACGACGCTATAGTTGCGCGCTACTCTTCCCCTGCCACTGCTGCACTGAGCCGCCTCATGCTACCGTACCTCTTTCCTGACCTTGCTGCCTTTCCTACAGTCGCTGACCTCATCACGCCCCTCCGCACTTCTGACACTCGCTACCGCGCCGCACTTCCTGCTGAGTTCTGCGCCAGGAACCCCCCCCCCATGTACATCGCTCTCTATTACATAGTCACTTGCCTCCCTGACTCCCTTCGCGTAGTCAGGGACCACTTCCTCTCAGTCTGTCCAACCACCCTCACTGTCGACCTCCTCGAGAAGGCCCTCCTAGCGGCGGAGAAGAGCATAGTCGCTGTAGGAGCCTTTCGTGGTGACCCGCGCACCCCCATCTTTGAGGGATGTTCTCCTTCCCCCCTGCTGCCCTCTGTTGCCTCTGCTGCTGCTGCCGACCTTCTTGGTCTTGAGTCGGTCGGCGCGGCGTCTGCCCCTAGCGGGAGACGCCGCCCTGGCAAGGGCAAGGGGGGCAAGGGCGCGGGTGGAGCTGGCGGGGGCGGTGGAAAGGCAGTGGCGGTGGCGGAGGGAATGGGGGTGGCGGTGGGAGTGGTGGTGGGGGTGGTGGTGGTGGTGGTGGCGGCAGCGGAGGCAGCGGCGGTGGCGGCGGCAGCGGTGGGAGCGGAGGCGGCGGTGGTGGCGGAGGTGGAGGCGGCGGTAGCGGAGGAGGTGGAGCCGGTCGGGGTAGTGCCCCGCAGCGGAGCAGCTCTGGTGGTGGTCAGCGCCAGCAGCAGCAGCAGCAGCAGCGTTCTCGGAACATCCCCTCGCCTCAGCAGCTCCGTGAGTGGTACACGCAGCGTCAGCGTGGTGGGGGTCTTGGCCCGTGCACCTACGTTCTTCGTTCCGGCGACCGCGCGGGTGAGCAGTGTGGGGGTGCCCACTCCACCCAGCGCTGCTTTGGCCGCCTGATGGACGCTTGGCGTCAGCAGTTCCCCGAGGCTAGTGAGATTCCCCGCTTGGGAGAGCTGTCTAGGGCTGGCGTAGCGATCTTTGATCTTGACTTTGATGCTATCCTTGCTGCCATGTATGCTGTGACTATTAGTGATGAGGGTGACTGTTACCGGTGTTTCCCGACCGACCCGAGCATTGGTACTGCTGCACTAGGTGCTTGTGAGGCTACTGCTCTAGGTGCCAGTGCGTCTGCACTCTCAGGTACTGGTGAGGCTGCGCTCTCAGGTACTGCGTCGGCTTCGGCCTCCCTCACCTTCACACTTGACACCTAGCCACGTTTTCGCGTCGGCCCGGGTCGGATCTCTACACCCTGACCACTGAGTCTCCTCCAGTCCCTGCGTCTGGCCAGGTAACTGCGTCGGGTCAGGTGTTTGCTGCTGCGTCCAGGTCTGGTCCTGAGTCTGCCCCCTGCTCGTGTCGCCTCCTGTCTCACGAGACACTCTTGTGGCACCACCGTCTTGGCCACCCCTCCTTGCCTCGTCTTCGGGGCATGGCTTCCCGTGTCCTTGTCTCTGGTCTCCCCCGGTCTCTCCCTCCCCTTCCTTTGGGGCCAGGACCTTCCTGTGTCCCCTGTGTCGAGGGGCGGCTCCGGGCTGCCCCGACAGAGACTCCTTTGCAGACGCTTCACATGGACGTGTGGGGCCCGGCCCGCGTCCGTGGATAGGGTCACGAGCGCTAATTCCTGCTGGTGGTTGACGACTACTCGCGTTACACCACAGTCTTCCCCTTGCGCAGCAAGGGTGATGTCACTGAGATGTTGACCGACTGGATCCGCGCAGCTCGTCTCCAGCTCAGGAGGAGCTTCGGCTCGGACTTTCCTGTTCTGCGTCCGCACTCTGACGGAGGCGAAGAGTTCTCCTCTGGCCTTCTGCGAGCCTACTGTCGTGCACGAGGCATCCGCCAGACCTTCACGCTTCCGGACTCTCCACAGCAAAATGGGATTGCTGAGCGCCGCATTGGCATGGTCATGGACGTCGCTCGTACGTCCATGATGCATGCGGCTGCCCCCCATTTTCTGTGGCCGTTTGCGGTTCGGTACGCGGCGCATCATCTCAACCTTCACCCCAGGGTCTCCCGGCCGGAGACCTCACCAGCTCTGCTGTGGACGGGGAAGGTCGGCGATGCGTCTGCGTTCCGTGTCTGGGGATCTCGGGCGTTTGTCCGCGACCTGTCTGCGCACAAGCTGTCCCCTCGTGCTGCTCCCTGTGTCTTCCTAGGCTTCCCCCGTCTTGGTCACCCCTCCCTGCCTCGTCTCTGAGGCATGGCTTCCCGTGTCCTTGTCTCTGGTCTTCCCCGGTCCCTCCCTCCCCTTCCTCCGGGGCCTGGTCCTTCCTGTGTCCCCTGTGTCGAGAGGCGGCTCCGAGCTGCCCCTCACTCCTCTCAGTTTCCCCTGACAGAGGCCCCGCTGCAGACGCTTCACATGGACGTGTGGGGCCCGGCCCGCGTCCGTGGACAGGGTCACGAGCGCTACTTCCTGCTGGTGGTTGACGACTACTCGCGTTACACCACAGTCTTCCCCTTGCGCAGCAAGGGTGATGTCGCTGAGGTGTTGATCGACTGGATCCGCGCAGCTCGTCTCCAGCTCAGGAGGAGCTTCGGCTCGGACTTTCCTGTTCTGCGTCTGCACTCTGACCGAGGCGGAGAGTTCTCCTCTAGCCTTCTGCGAGCCTACTGTCGTGCGCGAGGCATCCGCCAGACCTTTACGCTTCCGGACTCTCCACAGCAAAATGGGATTGTTGAGCGCCGCATTGGCATGGTCATGGACGTCGCTCGTACATCCATGATGCATGCGGCTGCCCCCCATTTTCTGTGGCCGTTTGCGGTTCGGTAC